GGCAGCAGTGACACGGCCAGTGGGCGGGAGCAGCGGGCAGGATGCTGTGGTCTCATCCTCTGCTTGGGCATCCAGATGGGCATGGGGCTGGCTGCGCGAGAGGGGTGGGGCCCTGCGGCCCATCGAGCAGGGATGCTGGCTGCTGACAGGTGCAAGTCGGGGCTGCGCTGGGCCCGTCTGTGCCACCTCGGGGCCACGGTGCTGGCTTACAGCGTGCACTCTCTGCACCCTCCCTACCCAGCACTCAGGGCGTTTGCCCTCGGGGTGCAGCAGGAGGGCGAGGACTTTCACACCAGCTCAGCTCCCACCTCTGCCCCATGCCTGTTGCCTGGTCCTGGCTCTGTGGTCCCGGGCATCTCACAGTGCAGTCAGGGTCTGGCCGCACTTCTCCCCCATCCCGTGGGTACCCTCCGTCGGGGGCAGCACTGTCCCAGGTCCCTGTCCCTCCACCCCCACACGTGCACACACACACACACACACACAAACACACCTGTCCTGGGTTGCTTATTTGTTCTGGAGGCCCTGGTGGCCCCAGGACAGTGTGACAGTCCTGTCCCACCAGGTGGGAGGCTCCTTCCAAGTGTCCAGCGCCCACCCCTCGGCCTCTGGTGCTGCTGGCTGTGGGGCTCGGTGCCCAGGGTTCTTGCCTTCCTAGTGGCAGTGTCCTGCAGTAGGGACAGTGCATGGGTCCTGGGGCTGGAAGGGCGCCATCCAGGGAGGGAGGGCAGCTCGAACAGAGCTGTGTCTGCTGGGTGGGTTGCCTTATCTCAGAGTGACCAACCCCGGGCTGAGAGCTGAGACTCGGAGGCACCGGCAAACCAACCTGTCCCAGCTCTGGGCCCACGACCCAGCCATGTCATCTGTGAAATAGGGACAGGCCGGGAGCAGGGCAGCTGTTCTGCTGGACTGTGTGGGGCCAGGCGGTTCCCACTGTGTCTCAGGGCAGCCGCAGCACTGCAGGGCAGGCATCAGTGGTTGGTGTAGAGAGCTGCCCTGAGCGGACCCCAGGACCTGAGCAGAGGGGATTAATTCAGGGCACGACAGTGACCAGAGGATGGGAGAGCCTGGGGGGACCCTGCCTCCCCGAGGCTGATCTGGGCACCGAGGTTGTGTGTGTCCCTGTGGGCGCTGGCCGGTCCCTGGGAGACTCCAGTACACCAGCCTACACTTTCCCAACCCCTGCGTCACTGTCACCTGGGTCCAGACACAGGACGAGCCCAGGCACGGAGGAGCGACATGAAGGCCTCCCTGTGGCCAGGTTCGTGTGGCCCAGGTGCAGGCGCTCTGTCCTGGCGTGGGCCCACTACAGGGGAGGGGCGTGCGGTTCTCACTGCGCACCCCACTTTCCCAGTTGCGGAGATGCGCCGACATGTGAGAGACAGCACAGCGGACAGGCGAGCAGAGAAGAGCCAGCGTGCCCGGACAATCATCCTCCTCCTCCTCCGTGGATGCCTTCCCGGGCCGCAGGACCCAGCTTCCGGCTGGCCGCAGTCGCGCTCTTTCTGCCCCTGTCCGGCCAGAATGTCCTGCAGCTGGCCTGTCCGCTTCTGTCTCCTGCTGTGGACCACAAGGGACCGGCCTCTGAGGAAGGCCCTGCTGCGTGTGCCACATCTTGTGACACGCGCGGCCGGGCAGAAGGCACCAGAGCTCGTTTTCACCACCCACCCGGGCATCACTGATGGACCTACAACCTGGCACCAGGGAGCGGCCCGGCGTGCCTCTGGCCTTGCTGTGTGTGCTCTGGCAGCGGCTGCCAGCACTGTCCATGCCGGTGTCTGTCCCTCTCCTGTTGGTGGACATGAGTTCCCCTGTCCTGAGCGTGACACGCCCCTCCCTGTTCCCTCTCCTCCTTGCTTCTCCCAGGATCTCTGGGCGAAGTCACCATGGCTGAGAGTGCACATTTGGACACTCATTGGGGTCCGGTAAAAGATTCATAAATTTTTCGGGGAGGGTTTGGTTTTCTGAGAAAGGGTTTCCCTATGCTGGCCTTGAACTCGCTGCAACCCTCCTATCTCATCCTAAGTGCTGGGAGCACAGGTGTGCGCCACCACACCCAGCTTGTGGTACACTTTTCACTTAAGTCTTAACCCTCATGGACGTGATTTTCAGAAGCACAGTGTTCGGTGGGCTCCCCTCCGGTCGGCGCCTCACCAGGGCCGGGCATCAGGGTGGACAGGGCCCTGCTGAGCCCCGCGGGTGTCCAGGCTCTGCTCCCTCAGTTGCTGTGTGCCTCAGGTCCTTGGCCACACCTTCGCTTCCTGCTCTGCTGCCTGCCTTTGGGCTTCTCTTGGCCCTGGGAGCGTGTTTCCCCGCCCTGCTCTTAACGAGGTCTTGGCTTCACTTGGTCCTTATTTTACTTTTTTGATTTTTGTACCGGGGATTGAACCCGGAGCCACCACACTGGGCTCCTCGGCCCTTTCTAAAACTTTCATTTCAAGACGTGTCATGAGGTCAGTGAGTTACCCATTCTGGATTCGAATTTACGATCCTCCTGCCTCAGCCTCCGAGTGCTGGGACTACAGTGTGCACCACTGTTCCCAGCCAGCTATTCAGACTTCGTGAGGTGTGGCGTACTGGTGCAGCAGCGCACACACGCATCCCGCGCGTCCTCGGGGTTCCACCCAGCTGCCTGGCACCAGCAGTCAGCAGTGAGGCCCTCTTGCGGGCTTGAGGCGACTCTGGTCTAGCGGCTCTGGCCTCGCCGCCTTCGCCGCGCACGTGGAAACATGTTGGGGGCGTCGCCGCGGGGACGGAAGGGCCCCACCACTCCTCTGCTCCCGGAGGGACCCCAGAGTGTGCAGCAGGACCCCAAGAGTCCGGCGTCTCCCCGCCGGCGGGCAGCCGTCTGAGCCTGCGCTAGCGCGGGGTGTGGTCAGGACCCGGGCAGGAGGCGCGGGCAGGTGGACGCCGGACCTCCGAGCTCCTTCGCGCTCTCAGGCCCCACTTTCCCCAGTGACCCCGCGCTCGCCCTGCTCTGCTGCCCCCTGCCGGCCGTGGGCGGAGTCGCAGGCTGCGCCTGGCTCCTCTCCAGCCCCAGGCCGGGCAGCCTGGGTGGGCAGAGTGCTGCTGACCAGGCCGCATCTTCCTGCGCGTGCAGGGGACGCCTGGGAAGTGCGGGTTTTGTGTGCTGCGCACCTGTGATGGTTTGTAGTGACGCCTTCGCTTTGCCAGGGTGAGTCTCATACACACTGTTTACAGCACGGTTTTGTTTCAGTGTTTCCTAAAATACAATCCTACGTTTGCTTCTTTTCCTTTATAGCACCAGGGATTGAACCCAGGGCTACATCTCCATCCTTTTATTTTGTATTTATTTATTTTTGATAGCAGGGATTAAACTTGGGTCCTTGCACTTGCAAGGCAGGTGGCGGAACCACTGAGCTAAATCCCTGGCCTTTTTAAAAAAGTTTTGAGCCAGATCTTGCTAAATTGCACAGGCTTAGGATCCTCCTGCCTCAGCCTCCCAGAGTGCCACCCTTGTGAACTCACTAGGAAATCTTATGCTTGTGTCTTGGTGGCTTTTACACACGCAGACCACTTGTTTGTGTGGCTTCCCCTTGGGTGCTATAGGGTGCACAGTTCATGCAGCCTGCCCAGGACAGGACAGGAGGTGCAAGGGCCCAACTCCCTCCACCACAGCCCGAGGTGACCTTGCCCACAGGCCGTGCAGCAACAGGGCTGTGACTGGCACAGGGCCCGCTTCTGGGTCTCACCTTCCTTTCAGACGTCTCCTGTGCATCCCTCACCTAGGCAGGAGCCAGCTGACATCCCCTCCTCTCCTCATGGTCCCTGCTCCTTCCCCCGTGGGTGTTGGCACCCCTACCGCCCAGGCGGTCCAGCCCCGAGAAGTGGGCTCAGCTCTTTCCCGCGGAAGAGTCCAGTTCCGCACAGTCCTGGCCTGGGTGAGCAAGAGCTGCATGGCTGCACCTTGCCTGGCCCTTACCTCACACTGGGCCTGGTCACCAAGGAGCCCTGGGATCTGGCCACTCTGCAGGCTGAGAGCCAGAATGATCAAATCCGAGAGCTTCTTGCCAACTCAAAGCAGATTCTGACCACAGACCGATCCAGGCCACTGCAGTCTGCACCAGTAGGAAACGCTGTCCCTCTGGGACAGCGCTGGAGGCAGGGAGACTCCCCGTCCCGATCTCACTGCTGTCCTCACCTGGACCCCTGGCCCTGGGGTGGCTCCCTCCAGGCTTGGGGGGCCAGGGTTCCTTCCATAACATGGGTGTCCAGAGGGACAGGCCAAGTTCACTGCCCCTCAGGATCCCAAATGGTGGGCTGTAGCAGTCACACCAGGCATCCCTGCTCTGAAAGGATGTAAGAGGCAGCACCTGCCAGAGACCCCTGGGTCAGGCTCCAGTCCCCACTGCCCAGTGTGCGACGCAGGCCTGAGAAAAGGAATGCCCTGGGAGACAGAACTAAGACAGAAAGCGGGCCGGGACGACCAAGGCCAGTGCAACCCACAAAGGCGCCGCACTGTCCCAGGCACTGACTTCCTGGCAATGAGTTGTGGTAAAGGCGATGGTGGTTTCTATGGAAATGAATGTAAACAAGGCTCAGAAAGGACAAGACAAAGCATTCTAGACTTAGGAACAGAATAGACAAGATACATGATTGTGATTAGAACATTGTCCTTCTAGTCTGAAGGTTTGGTTGTGGGAACGGAATTAGGGTGTGAGTTACTCTGACCTCGGCACGTAGGCTTCAGTGAGCCTCACTTCTGTAAACAAGCTGATTATGGGGTTCACTCTTCACAGTCTGCTTGGGGTGTGATCAGTTTTACAGTCCTCTGCAGGCTGCTTTGAGAATCAGGTGAACTAACTTGGTGCAGCCCCAACAAGCTGTGTGCACATAAAGGCTGCTGATGCATAGTGGGCACAGCTGTCTCCATGTCCCCAAGGAGGGGCACCTGGCACCACGGGGTCCTCCCAGGTCTCGAACACTGGCCAGCGAGCATCCCCACTGATGCCTACGCGCCACTCTGGGCATTCTCGCGGGGCCACGGGCCACAAGCGCAGACAGGGTTTCCTCTCCCTCTCTCCCAGATGTGGCCACTCACTCTAGCGAGTGCGAATGCTGTCCCCCAAATCCATGTCCCCAGAGCCCAGTGGCCTTCTGGGAGAAGAGCTGTGCGGGGTCACCGTCCTTGCACCTAGGCCTGGCCCCTCTTCAGGCTTTCAGCACCAGGTGAGACAGAGCCTGGTGCTGAGAAACACCCATGCCCGTGCGCCCCCACCCAGTCCGCCACCCCTGCTGTGCCAGGCCATGGTCTCCCTGTCCAGGAAAGGTCACGAAGATTGGCCTTCATGCATCCAGGTGTGGTGCTACAGGAGCCATCCCGCCATCCACCAGGCCCCCCGGATGCCACGACCAGGCCCCAAGCCCCGGGTGCTGCAGACAACAAGGGACCTCCCCAGGACCCTGTCCTCTGCTGTGCATGGTGATGGGGCCCAGGGGCCTCCAGCTCTTCTCTAGTGTTTGTCCGCAGCTCACGTGAGCACAGAAGCCGGCACCCAAGGTGTCACCGTCCTCTGCTCCTGCTCCCAGCACAGGGACTGGACGGGCCAACAGTGGCGGTGGCAGACACCATGGCGACTGAGGTGGGGGCATCTCCAGGAAGGCGACGTGGGAGACAGGAGGGGACAGTGGCCACCTGGGAGGGGCCCCAAGGACCGCTCCCCTGGACTGGACTGGACCCTAGCGCCAGCTTCATGGTGTCACCCTGCCCCTTGGAAAAGCCCAGGCCACTGCTCGGGGTGGCTGAGCTGTCTCCCCAGAGCAGGTGCTGAAGCCCCAAGCCCTCCTGCCTGTGCCTGTGGTGTGGCTGGAGCCAGGCTTTCCCCGCGCTGCACACAACAGCAGGGGGGCTGAGGCCCGCGAGGGCTGCGGATGCAGGGAAGGCGGTTCAAGTGGCACCCACAGCAAGGCCACACGCAGCCCCCTGCACTGTGACCTCAGGACGCGAGTGCCAGGCAGGCCTGCTCCTCTCCAAATCCAACTGAGGGCTCCATTTTCTGCTTCGGTTTGGAGATGGAAACTGGGCCTTGGCGCGTGGGGCTCCAAGTTGTTTTTGACCAAATCCCCAGACCCAAATGACGTGGAAAAAAACATTTAGTGCATGAATTTCCAGCTCAGGTCCCCGTGCAGATGGGAACCAGGCCGCCCCGGTCAGGGCCAGCAGCATCTGTGACAGGCTTGGGACACGGCTGAGCTGCGGAGTCGGCCCTGGGACAGCAGGAGCCCAGGGTGTGAGAGGAGCACAGCCGCTTCGCCTGAAAATCTCCCGGGGTGGCGCTGGTCCTGGTGGCTCCCAGCCGTGAGCCGGTGGACAGGCTGCGGCACAGCTGCTCGGTGTGTGTGCTGTGCGTGTCACCTGTTTGTGAATTGCGGGGTGTGTGTGTGCTGTATGTCTTTCATGTGTCATGGGTTGGGTGGCGTGTGTGTGCACAATCTCAGTGCAGGACACACCGGGGCGCACAGGGTGTGGGGTGCAGAGGCTTTCTGAAGGGTGGCAGTGGTCGTTTCCGCCGCGTCGTCCCAGAACCTGCTGTGGCCGCACTGGACAAAGGGACAGCTCTGGGAGCCAGCAGCAGAGCCAGTGCGGCGCCTTCCTGTGCTCATCTCACGCCTGGCAGGGGCCCAGCCATGCTGGGTTATGCTGTGGTGTCAGGGTGGTGGCTCAGAACCCAGTGCCCCTTGGTCCTACCTGGCCAGCTATTGAAAAGTTCTGGTGTCGCTGGATGTGATGGTGCCCTTCTATAATCCAAGCACTCTGGGAGGCTGAAGCAGGAAGATTGCAAGTTAGAGCCAGCATCAGCAATTCAATGACTTATTTAAAAAAAAAAAAAAAGAAAAAAAATTCTGGTCTGCAGCCCGCCCATGCCACTTAAATCGGAACCTCTGGGTGGGGCCGATGTGGAGACCCGTGGTCCCCCTGGCGCTCTGTGGCCTCGGTGTCACCCACCTTCCCTAACCCTAACCTGCGGACCAGCCTGGACCCTGCACAGAACTCAGGCCCGGGGGGGGGGGTTCACAGGGAGCCGGGAAGCTGGGCTGGAGCCTCCTCCCCACCAGGCACCCGCCAGGTGCCCCAGGGCCCAGAAGGGTGGAGCCGCCCGCCTCCAAGGGGGGGGGCCTCCCAGGTGGGATGCAACGGGCACGGGCAGGGGTGAGGGGGACACCAGGGACCAGGGGGCTCTCGGAAATGCCCGGCGTTAGGAGGTGGGGCCTGGTAGGGACTCTAGCCAGCGAATGTGCCGTTAGGGGCGGGGCTGAGGAGGAAGTGGGGCTATGGGGGCGTGGCCGGAGGGCTGCTGCCCTGCCCCCTTCCTCTCTCCCCACTTCCAGCTCTCTTCATTTCCGCTTCCGGCTGCCAGCAGGCTGGCAACCGTCCTCCGCCCAGCCCTTCCGGTTCGTTGCGAGGCGCCTTCGTCCGAGCCAGCCGACCACACATGTAAACCGTGAGCCGAGACAAAGCTTTTCTTCTTTGTGTTGAGAATTTTGTCTGGTAGTGGGAAAAGGTAACTGGGAAAGGGGCGAGGAATCTGGCTTTTCATATAGTTTGTTTTGGAATTGTGGTTCATGACTTATATGCTCAAGAAAAAATCAAATAATCAAAGAGGGGCCGTTATTTTAATTTGGATATAACCAGGCACCAATTTTGCTGTGTTTTTATTTGCTCTGGCGGGTGGGCTCACTTTGGCAGGCGGGGGTGGGCAGGAAGGGGCACCGGGCACAGCCCTGAGGAGCTCAGCGCCCATCCGCCGGCAGATCCAAGTTCTGAAGTCTGGTTGTCACAGATCTGGTGCGTGGGGCAGCTGGCAGCCAGGTGGTTTCCCAGCCGCACCCCTGCGTCCAGCTCTGCCCCTGGCTGGGCTACTGCTCGCCCTGGTCATCGTGCCAGTGAAGCTGAGGCCTCACAGCTCTGGCTGTAGTCAGTACATTTTTCAGACTGACTCTGAATGAAGCCCTGCTCTGAGCAGTGGTCTGCCCTCACCCCGAGGCGAGAGAGGTTCCTCAGACAGCGTTAGCGTTTGCGGCTCTCCTTGGAACTGCCAGGCCACAGAGAGCTGGCCCTGCAGTCTGAGGTCTCCGTCTTCGTCCATGGTAATGCCATGGCTACTGCGCAGCCTGAAAGATGATCACAGGCGAGCACACTTGTGGGGCCTCACCCTGGCCCAGGACCCTCACCCCCGGCCGGTTCTCCCGCTATCAAGGGAACAGCGAGGACTCATGGTTGCAGAGGGGAGATGCGGAAGTGCCAGATGGGTTTTCAAGTGACTTTACCAAATATCCAGGGAACAAATAAGCTGCCAGCACAAGCTGTTCCAGAGCACAGCAACGCACAAAGCCAGTCGTTTCATAAAACCTCACAGAAGCCCAAAGGGGGACCCTCTCCACGTGTACCACATGTGCGTGCACACACTGCCTCCTTCTGAGTACAGAATGAGTGATCCAAGTATCAGACGAGTAGCGTCCCTGCAGGAACACGGGGATGGCTCACAAGGAGAGGCCATTGGCTCTGCTCACGAAGCCTGAACACTGAGGACCATGTCGTGACCCCGGACAAAATTCAACTTATTTCTTCATTACAGAGCTGATGTAAATAGAATACAGAGGGATCTAAGCAATGTAAGGTAGGGTGTTTTCCAGATGTAACAATAAGCAGGATCTTGCAAGGTGAGGCACAGTAGGTGTTAAGGGAAGAATGGATTTAGAAATCCGAGTTTCCCTGAAACTACTTCAGACCCTCCCAAGAACAGAGACACAGCTAGCAAATGGATCTGAGATCCTGCAGGGCACTGCTGGGCTGTCAGTGGTGCAGGTTGTGCAGTGGTATGCCTAGAAAATTGAAAAGCCTTAATTTAAAAAGTAGGGTGACAGAATTCAGCAAAATGACTAAACACAAGATGAGTTTAAACAGTATTCTGATTCTTATCTCCATGTCGGCAAGCGCCCCGAGTGCCCATAGGTGGGACATGAGGAAGGGGACTGGATCAAGGGCTGGGCAGAAGCGGGCTCTGGTTTGAAGAGGCATGCACTGGGGCTGGCCTGGAAAGGTCCTCTCCAGGCTCCTAACTCTACTTCCTGTACGCCATGCCCTGAGCAGCTGTCCTTTGCCTGGCCCCACTGCCATGCCGGTTCTTCCATCTGAGCCTGCTTAAACTGGACTGAAACGTGTAAAATATGAACCAAAATAAACCTTTCCTCCTTGAAGTAGTAGGCATGGGGTATTGGGTCCCAGCGAGGAGGAGAGTGGTTAAGACAGTAGTACTCAGTGTAGTGTATCATCAAACAGTAGATGTAAGGGATGTCACATTATTCAGCCTTGACACTTTTACAAAGATTACACTGTTAACTAGAGAGATGCAGGCAAGACCATGAGGACAGCTCTGCAAAAGCGGTGCATACAGTAAAAATGCAGGCGGCTCACTTTCAAAATCAATGAGCAAGAGTCAAGAAATCCCTTCTCCAACCAGTATTATAAAAGAGGGCAAATCCTTCACATTTAAAAGCTCTGGAGATCATCAAAAGTCATACAATAAAGAAATTTTTACCAACTAAGACAAAAGACTAATACCTAGAATATATAAAGAACTAAAAAAAAAAAAAAAAATCAGACCCCCCCCCCAAATACAAAGACCCAATTCAAAAATGGGCATTTGAAATGAACAGACATTTCTCAGACAGACAAGTAAAAGCAGCAAGGCTGGGGATTTAGCTCAGTGGTTCTGCTGCCTCTGCCTTGCAAGCACAAGGACCTGAGTTTGATCCCCAGTACCCCCCCAAATCTTAGCTTACAAGTAAAAACAGCAAATAAATTATATGAAAAAATGTTCAACATCACTGGTCATTCGAGAGATGCAGATGAAAACAACACTGAGATTCCACCTCACCCCAGAAAGAATGGCTGCTATCAAGAAATCAACCAATAACCAATGCTGGTGGGTTTGTGGGGAGAAAAGAACCCTTCTCCATTGTTAGTGGGAGTGCAGACTGGCGCAACCACTGTGGAAATCAATATGGAGATACCTCAAACAACTAGGATTAGAGGTTCCATTTGACTCAGCCATCCCTCTGCTGGGTATCTTTCCAAAAGAATTAAAAGAATCATAGCACAGTGATATATGCACACCCATGATCACACCCATGATTATAGCACCACAGTTTGTAATAGCTAAAACTTGGTAACAATCCAAATGCCCATCAACTGGAGACTGGATAAACAAGATGTGGTTTTTCTATAAAATGGAGTACTACTCAGCCATAATGAGAAACTAGAAACATTTATAGCGAAATGGACGCACATTGAGGCCATACTCTTAAGTGAAATAAATAGGACACACGAGTAAATACCAAATAGCTTCTCTGGTGTAAAAAATTAAAAGTGTAATAAGGTTCAAATGGTATAATTGGGAGTGTGAAATAAGAAAATGACTAAAGAGGAAGTGGGAAGGGTAGGGAAAAGGAAATAAGGGAAAAGATAAAATGTGAAAAAATGAAAAAAAGGAAACAAAGTCTTTGTAAATAGGGAAGGGTGAAGGGGATGAAGGGAGGGCAGAGGTATGGGGAAAAAACAAAACCAAGATATATTATGTAAAGGTACAAGATCCTAGTGATAAATGTAACTATTGCTTGCTTTAAATGTACCAATAAGCTGGGCATGGTGGCACATGCCTGTAATTGCAGCACTGGGGAGGCTGAGACAGGAGGATCGCTGTGAGTTCGAGACCAGCCTGGGCTACACAGTGAGTTCCAGGTCAGTCTCAGCTACATAGTGAGACCCTGTCTCAAAAAAATAAAAATAAATAATAAATGTACCAATAAAAAAAAGTCATCCGATAAAGTATACAGAAATGAAAATACAGTATGTCAGCATTTGTGGGGAATAGTTATGCTGAAAGAGAAAAAATGAACACCATTAAATGCATGCATTCAAAAAAAGGAAAAATCTTAAGTATTTAAACTAACACCCCCAAGAACGTAGGAAAAAAGAAAGTAGAAAGAACAAAATAATAAAATTGAAAATAGAAAACCAATCCATACAATTATTGAGAGGAAAGAACTTGTTCTTTGGAAAGATGGATATGACGGACAGATTTCCAGGAAGGCGGACCTGGGGAGACGGAAGCCCAGGTGATCAATACTGGGAATAAAGCAGGAATTATCAGAGACAGCAAAGAAAATGACAGGAATCCACGAACACATCACATCCACACATCTGACAGCTATGAAGAGGGGTCAGTCCCTGAGAAGACACACACTACCACAGTTCCACCACCTAGAACTTCAATAGTCCTACAGTGAGTTAGAGGCAATGAACTTCCCTTTTAATCAATGTCAAAGAAGTCCCAGGTCCGGACGGCTTCCCTGGCTAATTCTACCCAGTGTTTAAAAAGGAATCACTTGGCCTAGAGTTGTAGCTCGTTGGTGCCATGCCTTCTTTGCAAGCACAAGGCCCTGAGTTCAGTCCCTGGTACTGGGGGGAAAAACGGAGTAACTCAAATTTGACACCGTCGTTTCCAGAAAATTCAAGGGCAGGAACTCTCCCAGCCCGTCCTAGAATGACAGTGTTGTCCTGGCGCAAAACCAGATACACTGGGAAGGGGCACTGAGCACCACCCCTCACAAGACAGCCATGGAAAGTCCCAATAGGTCGGCAGACGACACATAGAAGCGACACAGGAGTAAGGAACACGACCAGATGTGACCCATGCGGGAACACAGGCCAGAAGCCCTGAAAGTCGGCTCTCCTTTGTTCCATGGGCAGAAAAAAACAAACTGCACCATCATCTCCATAGCTAGAGAAAACTCACTTTTGGGCCAAAATCTAAGTGTTCAACTGCAGTCAGTAAAGCCACCTGGGCCCTCTGTGGCTGGCCTCATGTGCTCTTTGGCCGTGCGCAGCCTGCTGCTGTCCGGCTACCCAAAGGACCCTGGGGACACTGCTGCTGGCGGAGGTCCGTGTGCCTGACCTCTGCTGCCTCAGTCCAGGCTCCTGGTGGGCACTGTGGTGAGGGTTCACACTGGACTCCCTGTTCCCCATTATTTGTCTTATTTTGCTTTATTCACACTTTATTTACCTCTGTCTTTAGGGCAGAACCACATCCTTCCGGCTCTGGTAGTTTGTGATAAGTTTTGAAGTCAGAAGCGTGAACCCTGCCTCTGTTCTTTCTGCAGACTGTTTTTGTTTTGTTTTGTTTGTTGGTCCTGGGGATCAAACTCAGGACCATGTGCTTGTGAGGCAGGCGTGGTGCCATTGAGCTAAATCCCCAGCCCTCTGCATACTGTTTTGATAAGAGGCTTCATATGAATTTTTGGATAGTTTTCCATTACTACAAAAGCAACTGGGCTTCAGTGGGGTTTCTGGCCCACTTGAGGCCCACATGGCCAGCCTGTGTGGCTGCTTCTCGCTCCATGGCAGAGGCGCCTTGCAGCCTGGAAAGGGTTTCCATGACCCCTTCAACCTCTCCTGCTGCCCAGCGCCCACACTGCACTGCTTCTCCGCTGAGCACCAACAACACCAGGTGCTGACTTCCTCCGTGTATTAGTCAGCACCTGGTTTCTTTATTCTGACTTGGTTCTCTGGGGAACTAAAATCACTGCCTTGGCTGAAACTGTAGGTGTGTGGCTCAGTTCTCCTTCCTGTGACTCTCAGGCCGTGTTCCCGTCCAGGGTCCCCCATAGTGTCCTTTCAGTGAGGGACCCCGTCCAGGAGCCTGTGGGGCTCCCAGCTGTTGGTCTCTAAGTCTGTCCCTAGGACGTCCTCAGGTTTCTTATTCTGATCTGGATTTTTTTTTCTGGCATTTTTGAGATAAGGTCTTACTAGGAGCCCGGGATGGCTTCAAACTCACAGCAACCCTCCTGCCTCAGCCTCCAGAATGCTGGGATTATGGGCAAGCACCACCATGCCTGGCATCTGATCTTGGTGGGTTCTCTGCTGTGGGCTGTAACTTGCGCTGTCCTTGGTGCTGTCCTTTTGGTGGCAGCATTGTGGAATGTCCTGCAGGATGGGCAGGTGGTGGGTGTCTCGGTTCACATTCCACCAGGCCATGTCTGCCTCAGCCTCCCTGTGGGCTGGCAGTTCCCACCCCACATGCAGTCCTGAGCCTCCGTCGGTGGAAATGTGGCCGTTTGTGTATGGAGATGCAGGACAAGTCCTGGAAACCCACTCCATGGGGGTGGCCCGAGTCCCACATGCTCTGACCTTCAGCTGTTGCCGGCCTGGTGCAGG